AAGCACCCTTTGGCTAAGTGTTACAGTAGCCTTCCAATAAAGACTTATGAATGTGTACAATTCCAAAACAATATGGCAATACAATGTGCCAAGTCCTGCCTTGCAGCACTGCACACCCCCACATGGCTAGATACATGGTACTTTCCCCCTTCTTTTTAAAAGGCCAAATGAAACAGATGGTCTTTCATCGTAACCACTGTGGATGAGTGGCCAAGCTTCATGCATTTGCTGGCAGATTTTCATTACAATTAACATTTCAAGACTTCTTTACCCATCACACTGTATTTTTTTAAAAGTTCAATTGTCTGGAATATTAGGGTAGAATACTTTTTGCAAAAAAAAAGAAAAGGGAAAAAGGAAAAACAATAATTCACATACAAAATCTAGAAAGATGCTGGCATCCCAGGCCTGGGACAGAAGACATATTTTATCAGCGTTATTCATAAAAATACAATGCTATTCATAAAAATATAAAAGGTGGATCCACTGAGGACTCTCAGGACAGGAAAAATCCAATCCTTTCCATCAGCCCACACTTCCCTACCCCCTGGCTCACCCCAACCTTCCCACTCCCTCCACACCCTGCCCTGCAGCTACTCTTTGCTCCTTCCTCAGCTATTTCTGAACCTTTAAAAAAATGTCTGGTTCTGTGGGATTCATGACCATGATCTTGCAAGTTGTGATGCGTGTGCAGGTACACATTTCACTTCTGTTCCCCCAGGCTTGTAGAAATATCTCCCCTTCCTACACATGGCCCCATTGTGTGGATTTTTTGTATATTTATGCCAAAGCCAAGTTGAGAATTAGACATATGATGAAGTGGCCATATATGATCCTGGAATACATGAAAAAGGGTGTAAAGAGCCAATGTGAAAACAGGAGGAGCGTGAGCAAAGATGGTGGCCCCATGCCCCTATGCATATGCACCCTATATGGTCCTCACAGTGCTCCACCCCTACAAAAACCATTTCTGATCAAAAGGATGGAGCCTACAAAGCATACCGTCTGTATATTCACAAGCACTGTGCTCACATGGGGCAAATAGGTGGGGGCAAGGCTCTCCGCTTCTGTGTCTCCCACTACACAGTTGCCACATGCATAGGACTGAGTCTGATAGTTGATTCATTGATCTCAGTATCATCTCCTCTGACATACAGTGGCTCCCAAGGCCACAGATATTGAAAGGTTTTCCTAATCCCCAGCATTGCTAGAGACTGAACTAGGATCTTCTACAACCAAAGCACATGACCGACTTCCGGTTTGCGGATTGGCGATGGCGGTCGCTCTCCCCAGCTTGCGGGGAGGCGATTAGCACACCAGCGCCACGGAGGGATGCTGCCTCAAGTGGCATCCCCACGGAGCCCTTGCGATGGGTTCCAGGCCAGAAGACGTCTGAGGGTTAGCCTCTTCGATGGCTTGACGCCCGAGAATAGAGGCTTCCCTCCGCCCTGATGGTCCTACCGCTGAGTGACCTTCAGGTACAAGCTAACTCAACCAGGACAAGCGCAGGAGATCGAGTGGAACAATGAATAAGAAAGTGAGGTCTGAGATATGACCAACAATGAACGTGAGTTCGAACTAAATGGACTATTTTGATAAAACGGAGTACTGCCCCCGTGGGAAAAGCAGAGCGCAAGGAGGGATGCCTCTTAAGCGCATGGACAGATCAATGCAGTGAAGGGGGTAGGGGGAAAGTATTTGGATGGGAGAGCTCCAGAGAATACCAGGGTCAGGAGGCAGCATCAGGCTATCAAGTCATTTCTTTTAATGCCCTCCATGCCCCAGTAGGAGTCGCCAGAGGTTGCCATGACTTCAAATTTTCTGTAGAAACATAGGCATAACCTGCTTTCTGTAGAGAGAAATGGAATAATAAAAGCCTACAAATCTGTGCTGTCCTGACTTTTGACTAAGTGGGGGAAAAGGACAGACCAATTAAAACCTCATATCCTCATGAAGCGCCAAGCTGGGTGACACTCAGATGGGCCGGTGTGCCGTCCCTTTGAAGGGAGGATTTAAAGTGCAGTTCCCTGGGCACCTTTTTTGCCTGAGAATGTTTCACCCAACATCTGTGCTGCATGCAGCAGACGCCACACCAAATGGGAGTTCTGCTTTCACGTGCAGCCAACCATCTTCCTTCCACTCCAGCAACAGTAAGCACGTCTCTACAGAATAATTAAGAATTGCCTGCTTTCCCACCGCTGTCTCAGCGACAAATTCCAGAGTGCAAGCAAAATAATAATACCACACTGCTGAGCTGACAAATCAAGCTAGAGAGACTCGTACAGTTACAAACCAGAGTGGGGTTGTTGGGTCCCCCCTGGCCATCGGTGGGGGATGGAAAGCCTAGGGTTGCCAGATCCAGGTTGGGAAAGTCTTGGAGATCTGGGAATGCAGTCTGGAGAGGACAGGAACCACAGTGGGGTGCAATGCCAAAGAGCCCAAAGCATCCATTTCCTTCCAGGGGAACTGATCATCGCTGCAGTCTGGGGATGAGCTGTAATTCCCGGGGATCCCCAGGTCCCACCTGGAGGCTGGCATCCCTGAGTTAGCAGAGAGCCATTCCTCTGGCCCCAGCAGGAGTTTAGACTCTTTAACAGCAGCACTCTTTAACAGCAGCACTCTTTAACAGCAGCTCGAACCTGAATCTTTTCCCCCTCTTTTACCAGCTGTAATTCCCGGGGATCCCCAGGTCCCACCTGGAGGCTGGCATCCCTGAGTTAGCAGAGAGCCATTCCTCTGGCCCCAGCAGGAGTTTGGACTCTTTAACAGCAGCACTCTGTTCAACTCAGCAAGCAGCTTTCGAACCTGAATCTTTCCCCCCTCTTTTACCACAGCCTTCTGTTTATAACACTGTCCCCACATTTTAGGCTTATTTTCCCAAACTAAGCCCCTTGGTACTTCCTGTCCTTGTTATCTGGCTTTCCTAAATGTCATAAGACCTTCCTTCTTCAAGCATAATTGCTTCAGAATGGTATTTTCAGTAGGGGTTTCAGAACTTCACCCACCTATCAGAGACTACCTCAGCTGCTTGACATTTTTTAGAAAGGCCTTAGAGGCTCAGCTTACTTCTGAATCAGAGATGGAGTAGAAATCCCAGGCCATCAATAGGCTCCAGTTATCTCCCCCCCCCCCATCTCTCGCATGTTTCCAAGGTGATTGACTAGGCAGGAAAAAGCTTTTAATGTTGACAGCATAACCTTCAAACTAAGCACGCAACTGAAATCATGCAGTGGCCTGAATTATGGACATCACTCTAAAGAACAATCTTCTGATTGGATCAAAAAATATTTAGCAAAGCAAGATTATGAAAATCAATTCTCTAAATTGTGTCTATTATGATCTCCATCACATTGTGGGGCAAGACTCCCTATTTCACTGTCACAACTACCACCTCAAGTAACACCTCATGGGTTGCTCGAGACCAATTCCACACAGGTGTATCACTGTAACATGCCAGGGAGGCAGTTGGGTAAGGCCTTGTGCAGACTACAAGAAACAGGTATATGTGCACTAAGTAAAATAAACTAAAGGAAAATTACTAACTGTACACTAGCAATCCATGGCATATCTGGTCTTTGTTAGCTGCAGGATGCCCCTGTACCTGGTGCACCTGCAACCCTCTTTAGCATTATTCCCCTCTGTCATCCTTCATGGCAAACACACATCAAAGTGTGCTCCAAACACAGACCACTAAAGCATACTCAACAACAGACTCTCAGAGAAAGGAACAGCTCCCCTTTTCAGACCCCATCCTACATGTGCTCCAGGGCCTTCAATCCATCTGGGCTGCTGGGTCTTGGGCTGAAGCCCACCAGACCTGGCCCTTCCAAACAAGAGGTGTTAACACATCAAAGGATTAGAGTGTTTCCCTCTCAGTTAGGAAAGGATGCTTTCTACACAGCTGCAAAGAGCACCTTCTTCCCCTCTCCCCAGCCACAGAGACACCAGGGTTCCTTTCCATCACCATAACTGCTACAACCTCTCTTGCCCCCCCTGCCTCTCAATCCATCACACTGTCAAATCATGCAATGTGATTTGGTGTTCCAGGAGACCTAGTCTAGCAGCTTTGAATGGCTAGTCAAACTAACCTTCCTCCACAACCTACATAAAAAGTAAGCGTATAAGACCACTCATATGAATGGCCAACTGTCCATTCTGCAGATTTTGAAACTGTGTTGTATTATTATAGACTTTGGGCGGGTCAAACAAACAACATCTCCACTCCCAAGATACATGAAAGCTGTGCTCCACTTACAAACCTGATACAGAAGCATTAAATTCTCATTCAGCACTCTAGTCAAACTAACCTTCCTCCACAACCTACATAAAAAGTAAGCGTATAAGACCACTCATATGAATGGCCAACTGTCCATACCACTTGAGCCACCACAGCTCCTGATACAGAAACATTAAATTCTCATTCAGCACTCTAGACGAGAAGATCAGTTATACCAGGTTATAAGGTAGGATATTTTTATGGAAGGCCTACAGAAAGGTATGTATTTGTTACAGATGGAAAAATCTCTGTAATCAAAGCACACTATGTATTCAGAAACTTGTCAGACCACATGATGGTATCAAATGTAGCCTGTCAAACTAAATCTTCATATAAACGAGCTGAAAACAAAAACAGCAAAATGATCTACATTAACATGGCAAGCAGTGCAGTAATAATTTTGTATTAGAGATGCAGGAACACTCTTTGGTGCCATTCCAAGGCCACCCAAGTTGGCAAAACAACTCAGAGCAGTAGAGATCCAAGCTGAGTTTGGGATTTTTAATTTAAGATGCAAAGACACACTTAAAAAAAACCCTCTACTAAATGGTAAATCAGGCACTGCAGGTTTCCAGATTAGAATTTACCATGGGCCCTGAGAAGTAGGAACATACTTGAAAGTGAAGTAATAAGTGCAGAGACATACTGGCGTAGAAATTCAAATCCCATACCCAAAAAATTATGTCAGACGTTCATCACTTTCTAAAACCGAAAAATAACTTACTGTTCCGAGTCATAGTAATCCATGCATTTCTTTTTCTTGTTATAAGCTGCCACTCTAAAGGGTACAATTTCCAACGTTATCAGGCCTGGCGCCATAGTCAGCACTTTGGCACCATGGGTTGGATCATAGAGATCTTTTCCAGTCTCGGGATGCGGCATGCCGGCAGGATCTCGGCCCACAATGTAGAAGTTTGCTCCAGCTACCATTCGTGACCTACAATGCCACTGAACCTAGAATAAGATTTGAGAAGCAATGTTAGCAGAAGAGAGAAAGGCACAGTCAGGGAAAAAGGCAAAATCCCATTGTTTTCTACAACTCAGGGTCATATAACCATCAGAAGCAGAGCTACTGTGGTCATCATCTTGTTTACCAGTATGTGTATAGTAGTTCAGTAAATAATAATAATAATAATATACTTTATTGTCATTGTACATAGTACAACGAAATTAAAGGTGCAATCATTCGGTGACCTACAGCCATACTCATACACTCACACAACCATTCACAACCATCCCATAACTCCCTTAAGGTTCACATTGCAACTTAAACCACCAATGTCACCCAAATTCCAATTTCATACATCATTTAAAGCAATAATAGCTCTCGAATAAAAACTATTTTTTAATCTGTTTGTCCTTGTTTTAATTGTCCTATATCTTCTACCCGAAGGCAGCAGTTCAAACAGGGAGTATTCAGGGTGTGACAAATCCTGCAGAATGTTCTTTGCTTTTTCCAAGCATCGAGAACTATACAATTCCTCCAGGAACGGGAGAGGAGTAACTCAAACAAAAACAGACCCATGACCCAGACACATGTGGCTTGAGCCTGCAGTTGCACAAAGATAATTCTGCATGGCAATTGGAAGAGCACACTCACCAAAACAACAGGGTGCCACTTAACATTCAGGTAGTTCTTGCCAGGAGTATGAAGGATTTCAGTAGCATTCAGAACCATGGTCCCCAATATGGTACCCATGGAAACCATGAAGCCCACTGCTTCTTTCCCAAAGGCTTTCCCAGCTTTCATCCACTTCACTGGAGCAGTAGGAAGTGCTTCAGTAACCCCTTCATTATGACTGAATTCAGCCTTGTGTGGCAGCCATTTTGTTGTGATGCCCATGACGTGTTCTCAAATTCCCAAAAGTTCCTATAAACTGAACAATGTTGAGGACCCCTGCCTTAATGGAAACTCTTAGCTTGCGTTAATAAACCCACCCTGTAAACATGAAGACATTGCCCCCAGACAAGATGGGGTCTTCAAGATACAAGGAACATACAGTACAAACCCTGTGGTGCTTCCAGTCTGCTTAGGTTAAATGTCAAGCAACATGATAAAGGGGGAAACGGAACTCAGAGCAAAATGGGCATAATGTGGCAAAGGAGCAGGAGATAAGAAATGTGAGCACTGGCTTAAATACCACTAGACTGAAATCTCTTGGATAGGGATCCAGCAGGCAACTTTCCCTGGGCAGGGGTTTTGGAAAATATTCCTTCCTTCTGTGGTGGCAGGAAAGTCTTAGCAATTAGAAGCAAATAAAAGATCTTGATTTTGTTCAATCCCATGTCCCCTGAGTGTATTTTTAAAAAAATAAAATGTAGAATTTGTGTTTTAAAGATAATTTGCAATGAGAATATCGATCAGACCTATGCAAAACCAACAGCTCTCCTCTCTCCACTGGCTTGCAAGCAGCAGTCAAAGACCACAGAAATTCCAGTAAGTGACAGCAAAAAGCAAAAATAAAAGCACTAGCCAACAAACCTTGAAGAGATGGCCTATTTATTAAGTACTGAATACCCACAATTAGGGTTACATCATCTTTTTCCTGCCCAGAACTGCTGTGGCTTCATCTGGCATATAGCACTGTCTATCCAAATGGCAAACATCCTGCACTGCTTGATTTAGTCTAAACCAGGAAAGCTAAAAGCAATGTTCTAGAACACTAAAAAGGTACACACAGAAACCTGTGCAATACTTCTTCTCAACTGTACGTCCTACACTGGCCTCTACTACAGACCTCCACTCTGATACTTGGGCTAGAATAGAGGTCATCACAGTCCTTACAGAGCTTGTTGGGTACTAATATGCCAACATACCAAATCAGCATGTTTAAGACCCAACCGGCCTACTTTTTCAAAGCATCCTGAGTGTGAACTCTACTTTCCCCTTACAGTGACCAGATAGTACATTTTCATCCAAGCGATGTCCCGTTCAGCTGGTCTATCCTCTACAAATTCCTTGGTCAAAGGCAACCATCAAGGTCTGTAACATGTGCATACCCAACCCTTTTTGAGATGGAGTGACAAGAAATGCATACAGTAAAAATGTGTACAAGATCTGTTTTTTTGTTGTTCAGTCGCACAGTCGAGTTTGGCTCTTTGCGACCTCATGGACTAAATCACGCCAGGCCTTCCTGTCTTCCGCCGTCCTCTGAAGTTTGCTCAATTTCATGTTCGTTGCATCTATGACACTGTCTAACCATCTCATCCTTTGCCGTCCCCGTCTTCTTTGACCTTCAATCTTTCCCAGCATCAGGGTCTTCTCCAGTGAGTGCTCCCTTCTCATTTGGTGGCCAAAGTATTTGAGCTTCAGTTTCATTATCTGGCCTTCCAGGGAACAGTCAGGGTTGATTTCTTTGAGGATTGACTGATTTGTTCTTCTTGCAGTCCAAGGGACTCTCAAGAGTCTTCTCCAGCACCATAGTTCAAAAGAATCTATTCTTCGGCGCTCGGCCTTCCTTATAGTCCAACTCTCGCAGCCATACATGACTACTGGGAATACCATTGCTTTGACCATGCGGACTTTTGTTGGCAGGGTGATGTCTCTACTTTTTATCATGCTGTTTAGGTTCGCCATCGCTTTCCTCCCAAGGAGCAGGCGTCTTTTAATTTCATGGCTGCAGTCACAGTCTGCGGTGATCTGGGATCCCAGGAACGTGAAGTCTGTCACTACTTCCACAGCTTCCCCTTCTATTTGCCAAGGAGTGATGGGGCCGGATGCCATGATCTTAGTTTTTTTGATGTTGAGCTTCAAGCCCACTTTTGCGCTCTCCTCTTTTACTCTGAGCAAGAGGCTCTTTAGGTCCTCTTTACTTTCTGCCATTAGAGTGGTATCGTCTGCATATCTGAGGTTGTTGATCTTTTCCCCAGCAATCTTGATTCCCGCTTGTGATTCATCCAGGATGATTTTGCATGATGTACTCTGCATATATATTAAATAAGCAAGGTGACAGTATACATCCTTGTCGTACTCCTTTTCCTATGCTGAACCAATCAGTTGTTCCATATCCGGTTCTAACTGTCGCTTCTTGGCCCTTATACAGGTTTCTCAAGAGACATGTGAGGTGGTCTGGTACTCCCATCTCTTTAAGGACCTGCCATAGTTTGTTGTGATCCACACAGTCAAAGGCTTTAGCATAGTCAATGAAGCAGAAGTAGATATTTTTCTGGTACTCTCTTGCTTTTTCCATAATCCAGCGAATGTTGGCAATATGATCTCTCGTTCCTCTACCTCTTCGAAACCCAGCTTGTACTTCTGGTAGTTCTCTATCCACGTACTGTTGAAGCCTAGCTTGTAGGATCTTGAGCATGACCTTGCTAGCGTGTGATATGAGTGCAATTGTGCGATAGTTTGAACATTCCTTGGCATTGCCCTTCTTTGGGATTGGAATGTATACTGACCTTTTCCAATCCTGTTGCCACTGTTGCGTTTTCCAAATTTGCTGGCAAATTGAGTGCAGCAAGATCTGTACAAGGACATTATAATAATGGCAATTATACTTTCAAAAGTTTTCCTTGTAATCCCTAGTACAGAATATTCTTTTGGCACCATTGCTACACACTCAATCAACGTTTTCATTAAGCAATCTGCCATGACCCTCTGTTCACTCATTCAATTTAGACTCCCCCATCAGTGTGCATTTAAAACAAGGATTTTTCCCCTCAAAGGTAATGTGCATTACTTACACTGAATTGCCACATTAATATCTTACAGCTAAGACTCAAGACAGATTACAAAATATAGACAACGATTCAGATGGCACAAGAAATCCAGTAACAATGAAAACGAATTAGGATTACAAATTTAAACATGCACACAGAAAATTGCCTAAAGCACGACAAGACATAACCAACACAATACAAGATTACAAAGGTAGGAGACAATGCAATAGAGGCAAGATAATACATACACATTGCAATAGACTAGAATTCCAGTCTTCTTCTAAGAACACCATTCTGGACCTGCTCCATTATACTGCAATTCTGAACTCCTTATAAAAAATGCCCTCCTGAACAGTTCTATTCTGAAACATTCTGATGAACTGTAGCAGTCTTCCTGACAGGGTTGCCAGGTCCCTTACCTCTGCTGGCAGGGGGCTTTGGGGGGCATTCCAGGAGGTGGGGGGATGTCATGAGACATCCCTGATGCGATGACATCACCCGGAATTGACATCGTGCAGGGATGCTCTGGTATTTGGGCAAAACTCTATGGTTTTTCGCCCTCAAAACCATAGAGTTTGCCCAAATACCAGAGCATCCCCTGGCACAGTGTTTCCAGAATGATGATGTCACTTCCAGTTTTACCAGAAGTGGCCCAAAAACATCATTTGGGGGCAAGATTTCCCCCTGCCAACCAGTTGGCTGGTGGCTAAGAAGCCCGCTCCAAATCAGGGGATCCCCCTCCCAGACCAGGGTTCTGGGATCCCTACTTCCTAAGCTTGTCAGGGAGGCCATTCTACAAGGTGGGAGCCAGGATAGGGAATGCATGTGTATGGGCAGCTGGACCAAGGCCACTTTGTAGCTGATAACTGTGATGACCTGATAAGACTACAAACGTTTACCAGCCTCACCAGGTTGTTGGTCAGGTCCCCAGAAAATGAACTGAAAACAGAAAAACCCCACATTTATTCTTTAAACAATATTTATGCCATTCAGTCCCTCATTAAAGTACAGTACTCAAAATGAGGCTCTAACAGTTGCCCAGCTTATTAAAAGGCCTTGCTGGTGTCAAGGTTTCAGTTTCGCTTCTCTTCATTCTGCTTCACCTTGCCATGCTTTAAGGGAGAGGGAATTCCTGAGGTGTGTGGATTGAGTGACTGTGTCACGGTAGAGCCAGGGAGGCAAGCAGACAGGGGGAGTCACAATACAAGTCCAAAGGTCAGCCGGGAGAGCAGTCAGCAGAGCATTAAACAAGACCCAAAACACCAAAGCCGTAGTCAAACGTTACCAGAGGT